GGAGGGATCTGTAAAGAGAGTTTTATGTGGTTGTTCCTGAAAGAATTCTGGTGCACTTCTATAACCCATCCTATTTCATCCAGAATTTTCTAAGAGTAATAATTACGCAGAGATAAAACTCCCAAAAACAGGAGATGAAAAAAAAATGGAAATTGTACTTAGGTGGATTTAGTGACAGTTAAAAATGACTCTCAGTAAGAACAGGAAAATTTTTTGCATCCTGTGCAATCTGCTGTATGCTCTGTGCCTGTGTGTAATTAATCATTTACACCTGTGTGGGATGTCACAATTCTTATTTGGTAACATTTTGCATTGGGATAAATAATGCAGTAGCTGCAGGGGACTGGTAAATAAATGACTTTCCTTATTTACTTATTATCTTTTCCCCTAGCTAGAATATGTTAAACATGTTTTAGAGACCTGAGTTGGTTTCAAGTATGAATAGGCTTTCAATAGTGAGAACATATATCTTACTTGAAGGTGTGAAGAAATAGAAGAAACAACAAATGTTTTGAGTGTATCATTTTCATGCTTCAGCATACCTCTGTCCCCTAGGTGTCGTGTAAGTGATATATGAGCACTTTTGACAGCAAACATATTTCTATGTAACCTTCGTCACAATAAGTGACTAGTTATCAAATTCAATTCCTAAGTTTCTCTGTCTTTGACTTTTTGCCAAAAAGCAAAAGATCAGAAAAAATTGTTGAACATCATAGAAATTTGCGGACAGGTTTGTAGGGAAAAAGAGATTTGACTTGATTCTAAGAGGGAAATAACATGACACATTCTGGTTCAGTGTTAACTAAGTGGTTGAAACAGATGTTTGCAAATATGATTTTTTATACACACCCACCACATTCTCAGCCCCTTCAGTTAATACCTAAGTTGCTCTTCCTCTGAGAGTTCCTTTTCTATGCAAAGAGCTATGTGAATTGTTCAATGTGGAAAAATACAGCACAGTATATTACTCTTTTGGTGGGGCTGACTACAATGTTAGCTGAATTCCTAGCCTTTTTCATTTTAGCAAGGAGACAAAAGTAATGATGATGCCATCACCGGTTCAGCACCTTCATAGGCAACACAGAGGAATCCTTAGGAATCCCAAGATGACCATTAATGCCTGTCATCCTGTTGTGCTATTGACACCATTTAGAATAACTGTTGTTATTGCAGGAAAAAAAAAAAAAAAAAAAAAAAAAAGGAAAGTTTACTGAAAACTGGTGCAAAGCCCAGAAAAATTAAATTCAGGCAAAGTTTAGGTGGTTGATTTCCATGGAGTTGCAATTACATTGCAACAAGTCTAGATCAAGCTACACATTCTTTGCTATGAGCTATTGCACATCCAAGGAGCTATTTTACATCCAAGAGTTCTCTGGGGCAGCACATGTCAGTTGTCTCTTACTTTGTCAGCTTTTGGAGACACTACATTGCCAGCTTGACTCAGTGAGAAAATGTAGCTCTGTTCCTGGGATTTTCCAGCTTTATTTTACTTAACTATATCAATGTTGCATGCTGTTAATTATCCCTCTGGACTGTTGTGACAATGAATGAATTTAGCAACAGCAACTTCAATACCTTTATGAAAAATGAGATTGTGATCACTACTTCTATATTCGTCCTATGTCGTCTTTGATCACATACTCTCTGTCCCAACCAAAGCTACAGTACTCTTTACTTTGAAGAGTAATGTGCAAATCGAGCTTGCTGTTTCTGATGTAAAAACTTGCTTTAGCCTGAATGGCTTTCTGCCCTCTACTTTTGAAGTCTTTTCTCACTGACAACTGAGTAAAACTGGCCTGTATATTCTTCTCCATATTTTTCATCCATTGTTTTTCGTGTTTAATCGGTATTTGAAGGTATAAAGTACAGCTAGTAAGATTGCTACTACTCACTTAACAGGGAAGAAACACAATCTCTCAGCTGGTGTATTTTCCATATGATTTTTTTCTCTGATTATGCAAGAAACAGCTGTGCTTTTTTGACTTTAAGAAACATAAAATATCTAACTAACCCAAAGTAGGAAGTCATTATTTTCTGTTAACAAATGCTATGAAAGTAGCATCTCTGTTAGGTGTGTTTTGCAGAAAACAAGACACTTGTGCCATGTGAATTTTTCAAAGAACTGTTTGAAAACAGCCTAGTCTTTAATGTCTGTTAGTATGTATCTTCTATTTGTAGGGGACTTTTTTGTAGGTTGTTCTATGCATACAAAAAAGGTTTACAAATGAAACAACTGCAATTTTTCTTTCAGTATCTAACTTCTATTATATGAAAAAAAGACATATTCCATGAAGAACTCTCTCTCAAGTTGTACTGTCTCCTGCACAGAACTGAAAAACTAAGTGGTAACAATGAGATTGCATTAAAATTTGGACTTCCCCTACAGAGGAATGTGTCTACTTCAATTAAACGATCTCTAGTAAAAATACAAACTGTCTGTCCTTACTGGATAACACAGTGAGGAGTGATAATATAGCTTCACAAGTCACCACATCATCATTCACACATCATCTCCAGCTGAACATATTACTTTATCTTCAAGAGATAAGTTCAGCATAATTGCAGGGAGAGGGATTTGTATCAGGCATCATGGAAAACTTCCTTGCAAACTATGGTCTAAAATAGTGTAGGTTGTCTTGTGACATTCTGAATTGAAGACTTCTGGATAGAGATTAGAGAACATACCCATTAGAAATAGCTTAATCCTGTTCTGGAGTAGGGAAATATATTCGTATGATTCCAATCATGATTGTCTCATAATGACCAGAACAGCATTATTCGCCACTGGATCAAAAAAAAGAAAAATAAATAAGGCATTTGTATTCTGAGGGAAATTTTGACTTCTCTCTTTTAACCATATATGAAAACATCAGCTATGAGAATGTCTGATTTGTTTTACAGTGTTCAGTGATGCTTACAGGAAAGAAAAAGCTGAAGGCTTCTTAGAGTACTTCACCTTTTCTAGAGAGTCCTTTCATAGTTGGAAATATAGAAGAGTTCTGTCACACAGGTCAGGCTTCCTCCTGGTCCTGAATGCCAGAGAGCCCAGATAGACCTGCTGCACGCAGTGGCCAGGAAGAGCTGGAGCTAATCCATGGAGCCACGTATAGGTCTGCAGCTGAAAACTCTTGTGACTTGTGAGTGGAAGTAACCTGTAGAGGAAAACCTTCTCAAGGATAGATTTATGGGCTTTCTTGTCATTTCTGCCTTTCTGCCAAAGGGTAAATCTGGTCTTATGCTAGCATAAGGTTTTGTAAACACAAGTACAGAAATTGTTTCCCAAAATAACCTTAACCTGTGCTTACACTGTACTCTACATTGCTGTGTATGCTGTTCACTTTAATTGTTTAATGTGTGCACAGCTTAGTATGTTAATCTCTGTGTTCAGGGCAACATTATGCATCTTGAGGATATTATAATTTTTAATTTTCTGATTTAGATTTATGCAAACTTTCAGCTATGCTCATCAACATTTTCTTTACACTGAATTCTGTCTGATGATCTGAACCTCTCTCTTAATGCAAGAAATATGATATTTATATGCCCTGATTCACCAAGCATGACATTTCCCTTCTCAAAAAACTTTTTGGAATTATTTGCTATTGTATTGACCACAGCTGAACCAGAGAGTATGTTAAAGGTTTTTAAAAAGATTTTAAAGTTACATGCACCTGGGTAGAAAGGTTTAGAAAATGTCTTCTCAATGATAACTCCTGTTGCTATAGCAATCTTGTAGTAGTACCATATTAGTAGCAAAGTACCTAGATATGCCTTAAAAAAACCTGCAAATTTGTGCAATGGTTTTATAATGTCAGTGATAATAACAGGCTTAAGATCTGAAAACACTAGCCCCCTTGTCTTCAGCTGCTTTAATCCAGCATGGAATGATGTCATACAACAGGTGAAGTATTGTAGGTAACCAAAAAGGCTAGTTCTACCTTCATTTTCTATTTACATGCACCAGCTATATTCCCTGCTCTGCACATCCTCTTCTGTGAAATGTTCCCTAAATAGTTTTGTTGCTTTTAGTTATGCCTGGCTATGTCAAGCCTCTGTTCAAATGTCAATTGCAAAATGAGCTGTGCTATGTGCCATTGCTTTTTCTTTTGATTCTCATCCTTTCCAGTGTGTTAATGGTTATACAGAACTGAATGAACCTAGTGATGATATAAAGCTCTTGAAATGAATTGAACACAGCCGTCAAACTCAACAGCATCCCATTTCTTTTCCTAAGGAATCAATTTGGTTTTATTCTGTGGCATTTTCTATTCCTATAACCGAATATGATAATGAATAACAGTATGTGAGGCATCACACTGCATGAGAAGTTAATAAATTTTTCACACTCTTCACAAAATCTTTTTGAATGTCTACCATTGCTTTTAGGTCATGTCCTTTAAGATGGAAAAAGGCCACCGTAGCCAGAAAAAAAGTTTGTCCTGAGCCCTTACAAATAGTTACCTCCATCATTTGCAAGGGTTTTAATCATAGGAACTCTTGCAATCTCAGTTTTTGCTGTTGTGGCCATTAGAGTACAATACTTTGTGAGCCAGGCTACTTTTCATACTTTGATTCCTTCTTGTGTTTTATACTCTGTGGTTCACTAGTAAGAGTGTAACGAAAAATAAGAAAAAGTAGGGAAAAAAAAGAGAAAAACTTCATGTTAAGACTCAGTGATTTATCAAATTCGTGAAACTCAGTGGTTAAAGGACATACCTTTTTCTGTACTGAAAACAGGCAGTCAGGAAATAGTCTTGATAGTCTCATTGAGTCTACTTACTATCAGCTAACAAGTACTGAATAAAATAAATGTGTTTAATTTTGTCTTGAACGATTTTACACATTAGCTAAAAGACATTTAAATCCACTCCTTAGAAGAAGACAGTTTTCAGAAATGTCCTTCTGGTTTATCATAACTTCTAAATAGTGTGATACTTTTAATTTTATGGTAAAATTA